CACCCTCACCACCCAGCCCCACCCAGACCCCCCCTCAACACCCAGCCCCACCCAGCCCCACCCTCACCACCCAGCCCCACCCAGCCCCACCCTCACCACCCAGCCCCACCCAGCCCCACCCAGCCCCACCCTCACCACCACAGCCCACCCAGCCCCACCCTCACCACCCACCCCACCCAGCCCCCACCCTCACCACCCAGCCCCACCCAGCCCCACCCTCACCACCCAGCCCCACCCAGCCCCACCCTCACCACCCAGCCCCACCCAGCCCACCCTCACCACCCAGACCCCACCACAGCCCACACCCTCACCACCCAGCCCCACCCAGCCCCACCCTCACCACCCAGCCCCACCAGCCCCCCCTCACCACCCATCCCCACCCAGCCCCACCCTCACCACCCAGCCCCACCCAGCCCACCCTCACCCCCAGCCCCACCCTCACCACCCGAGCCCCACCCGCCCACCCTCACCACCCAGCCCCACCCAGCCCACCCTCACCACCCAGCCCCACCCAGCCCCACCCTCACCACCCAGCCCACCCAGCCCCACCCTCACCACCCAGCCCCACCCGCCCCACCCTCACCACCCAGCCCCACCCAGCCCCACCCTCACCACCCAGCCCACCCAGCCCCACCCTCACCACCCAGCCCCACCCAGCCCCACCTCACCACCCTAGCCCCACCCAGCCCCACCCTCACCACCCAGCCCCACCCAGCCCCACCCTCACCACCCAGCCCACCCAGCCCCACCCTCACCACCCAGCCCCACCCAGCCCCACCCTACCACCAGCCCCACCAGCCCCACCCTCACCACCCAGCCCCACCCAGCCCCACCCTCACCACCCAGCCCCACCCAGCCCCACCCTCACCACCCAGCCCCACCCAGCCCCACCCTCACCACCCAGCCCCACCCTCAGCCACACCCAGCCCCACCCAGCCCCACCCTCACCACCCAGCCCCACCCAGCCCCACCCTCACCACCCAGCCCCACCCAGCCCCACCCTCACCACCCAGCCCCACCCAGCCCCACCTCACCACCCAGCCCCACCCAGCCCCACCCTCACCACCCAGCCCCACCCAGCCCCACCCTCACCACCAGCCCCACCCAGCCCCACCTCACCACCCAGCCCCACCCAGCCCCACCCTCACCACCCAGCCCACCCAGCCCCACCCTCACCACCCAGCCCCACCCAGCCCCACCCTCACCACCCAGCCCCACCCAGCCCCACCCTCACCACCCAGCCCCACCCAGCCCCACCCTCACCACCCAGCCCCACCCAGCCCCACCCTCACCACCCAGCCCCACCCAGCCCCACCCTCACCACCCAGCCCCACCCAGCCCCACCCTCACCACCCAGCCCCACCCAGCCCCACCCTCACCACCCAGCCCCACCCGCCCACCCTCACCACCCAGCCCCACCCGGCCCCACCCTCACCACCCAGCCCCACCCGGCCCCACCCTCACCACCCAGCCCCACCCGGCCCCACCCTCACCACCCAGCCCCACCCAGCCCCACCCTCACCACCCAGCCCCACCCAGCCCCACCCTCACCACCCAGCCCCACCCAGCCCCACCCTCACCACCCAGCCCCACCCAGCCCCACCCTCACCACCCAGCCCCACCCAGCCCCACCCTCACCACCCAGCCCCACCCAGCCCCACCCTCACCACCCAGCCCCACCCAGCCCCACCCTCACCACCCAGCCCCACCCAGCCCCACCCTCACCACCCAGCCCCACCCAGCCCACCCTCACCACCCCAGCCCACCCAGCCCCACCCTCACCACCCAGCCCCAGCCCAGCCCCACCCTCACCCCACAGCGCCACCCAGCCCCACCCTCACCAACCAGCCCCACCCTCCACACAACTCAGCCCCGCCAGCCCAAACCTCACCACACAGCCCCCCCACCCTCACCACCCAGCCCCACCCAGCCCCACCCCTCACCACGCCAGCCCCACCCAGCCCCACCCTCACCACCCAGCTCCACCCCAGCCCAACCCGCACCACCCAGCCCCACCCAGCCCCACCCGCACCGACCCATCCCCACCAGTCACCAACCTCACCACCCAGCCACCACCCAGCCCACCCTCACCACCCAGACCCCACCCAGCCCCACCCTGACCAACCAGTCCCCACCCAGCCCAACCTCACAACCCAGCCCCAACCAGCCCCACCCTCAACCACCCACCCCACCCAGCCCCACCTCACCACCCCGCCCCACCCAAGGCCCACCCTCAACAACCCAGCACCACCCATGCCCACCCCTCACCACCCCCCCAGCCCCACCCGTCACCAACCCAGCCGCCACCCAGGCCCCACCCCTCACCACCCGCCCCACCCAGCCCCACCCTCACCACCCAGCCCCACCCAGCCCCACCCTCACCACCCAGCCCCACCCAGCCCCAGCCCCTCACCACCCAGCCCCACCCTCACCACCCAGCCCCACCCAGCCCCACCCTCACCACCCAGCCCCACCCAGCCCCACCCTCACCACCCAGCCCCACCCAGCCCCACCCTCACCACCCAGCCCCACCCAGCCCCACCCTCACCACCCAGCCCCACCCAGCCCCACCCTCACCACCCAGCCCCACCCAGCCCCACCCTCACCACCCAGCCCCACCCAGCCCCACCCTCACCACCCAGCCCCACCCAGCCCCACCCTCACCACCCAGCCCCACCCAGCCCCACCCTCACCACCCAGCCCCACCCAGCCCCACCCTCACCACCCAGCCCCACCCAGCCCCACCCTCACCACCCAGCCCCACCCAGCCCCACCCTCACCACCCAGCCCCACCCAGCCCCACCCTCACCACCCAGCCCCACCCAGCCCCACCCTCACCACCCAGCCCCACCCAGCCCCACCCTCACCACCCAGCCCCACCCAGCCCCACCCTCACCACCCAGCCCCACCCTCACCACCCAGCCCCTCCCCACCCTCACCACCCAGCCCCACCCAGCCCCACCCTCACCACCCAGCCCCACCCAGCCCCACCCTCACCACCCAGCCCCACCCAGCCCCACCCTCACCACCCAGCCCCACCCAGCCCCACCCTCACCACCCAGCCCCACCCAGCCCCACCCTCACCACCCAGCCCCACCCTCACCACCCAGCCCCACCCAGCCCCACCCTCACCACCCAGCCCCTCCCCACCCTCACCACCCAGCCCCTCCCCACCCTCACCACCCAGCCCCTCCCCACCCTCACCACCCAGCCCCTCCCCACCCTCACCACCCAGCCCCTCCCCACCCTCACCACCCAGCCCCTCCCCACCCTCACCACCCAGCCCCTCCCCACCCTCACCACCCAGCCCCTCCCCACCCTCACCACCCAGCCCCTCCCCACCCTCACCACCCAGCCCCTCCCCACCTCACCACCCAGCCCCTCCCCACCCTCACCACCCAGCCCCTCCCCACCCTCACCACCCAGCCCCTCCCCACCCTCCCCACCCAGCCCACCCTCCCCACCCTCACCACCCAGCCCCTCCCTCCCCACCCAGCCCCACCCTTCCCCACCCAGCCCCACCCTCCCCACCCAGCCCCACCCTCCCCACCCAGCCCCTCCCCTCTCCACCCAGCCCCACCCAGCCCCTCCCCACCCAGCCCCTCCCTACCCTCCCCTCTCCACCCAGCCCCACCCCTCCCACGTGGACAGACATCCACAGACATACACAATTAATCCCCTGCTTCCTGTGAAGAATTAATCCCGGTTGGGCTTCCAGTCCACTACGTTTCCTACCAGTATTATTTTACAGCTTGATTCCCGCTCACGGTCACCAACACCGTTGACAATTATTTGAACCGGTCCTAGGCCTCCTTTAGGTCGACTCCGCATGAAATTAGTACCTGGTGCAGAGTGTAAACATCGCCAATGGGGAGACAAAGGCGGCCGGGCGTGGAATTGGCCACCCACCCCCTCGTGTGCCGTGCCGACCTTCATAGGTGTTCGCCATCAGCACTTGCCCCAACAGTCTGTCCAGGATATATGGGGGATGTTGTCTTTGGTGGAGGGGAGGGGGTATAAACTAAACTTTATTTTTACCAGGTAAGTCCCCACTGAGCGACGGAGCTCTTCTTCAGAAGAGACCTGGCCACCACAAATGATAGCTCAACCAAGTGGCTTATCAAGTGGAAAGCTACAGCAGCAGCAGTCAAACACTCTACAATGCGCCACGTTGATTCTCAATGTGGAGGGGAAAACCGGAGGACCCCGATAAAAATCCACGCAGTGACCACGGGAAGAGAGACAAATACACAGCAGCAGCAGCAGGCGTCAGGGTGGTGATCAAGCCCACGACCTCCTGTACACCAGGCGAGGTAGTCAACATCTCCTAGCCACCGTGCCCCCCCCACTCACCCTGGCGCAGGTCAGAGACGAGCTGGCTGGGCGAGCGCGCCATGAAGGTGATGGCGCCCGGCTCCATGGAGGAGAGCTCAGAGGCCTCGCTGCACTGGGAGCGGCTGTCGGCCTCCGACTCGGTCAGCGACAACGCGTCTGGCTCGCACACGGGGAGCCACAGCGCTCACCACCAACGCTCACCACCAACACTCACCACCAACGCTCACCACCGCTTACCGTCACTCACCACCGCCTCTCACCACCACCACTCACCAACGCTCACCACCGCCGCTCACCAACGCTTACCATCACTCACCCCCGCCTCTCACCACTGCCACTCACCAATACTTACCACCGCCACTCACCAATACTCACCACCAACGCTCACCAACACTCACCAATACTCACCACCACCGCTCACCAACACTCACCAATACTTACCACCGCCACTCACCAATACTCACCACCAACGCTCACCACCGCCGCTCAAACCAACACTCACCACCGCCGCTCACCACCGCTTACCATCACTCACCCCCGCCTCTCACCACCGCCTCTCACCAACGCTCACCGCCGCTCACCACCGCCACTCACCAACACTCACCACCACTCACCACCGCCACTCACCAACACTCACCAACACTCACCACCGCCGCTCACCAACACTCACCACCGCTGCTCACCAACGCTCACCAACGCCACTCACTGCCGCTCACCACCACTTACCACCACCGCCGCTCACCAACACTTACCACCACCACCGCTCACTAACATTCACCAATACTCACCACCACCGCTTACCAACACTCACCAACACTCACCAATACTTACCACCGCCACTCACCAACACTCACCAATACTTACCACCGCCACTCACCAACACTCACCACCAACGCTCACCAACGCTCACAAGCACTCACCACCACGCACCCTGTCTCGATTGACAGCACCACCACTCACCAACGCTCACCGCCGCCGCTCACCAACACCTCTCCAGCACTCACCAACACGCTCCCTCTCTCGATCGACATCACCACCATCGCCCACCAACACTCACCACTGCTCACCAATCCTCTCAAACTCACCTTTCTCCACCCAGCTCACAGATTTCTGCGGCAGGGGGCAGAACCCGTTGGGAATGAGTTCACCGTTCACCTGCACACGTGCACACAAAGGCAAAGGTCCCCCACGTAGCCCTTAGCAGGCCGTTGTGGCAAGAGCCGTCACGGCAAGCAGTGGGGGGCTATGGGGGGCTGTGGGGGGCGCGAAAGCGACCGTTCGATCCCGTTTGAGTGACCCGCGGGGTGATGACCCAGAGCGGTAGCCAGAGCCACGGGGTGTGGGGGGGGGCAGACGGCGCGTGGCAGCGGCCGAGGCTTTGAATGCCACGCGACCGCCAGCGTTCACCAGGGCGGCACCTCGGATTCGAACCGCGAACCTCCACGACCATGTGAATTATCGTGGTGGGAGGGGGAGGAGATGGTGGGGGGGAGATGGCGGGGTGGGGGGGGAGGAGATGGTTGGGGGGGGGGAGGAGATGGTGGGGGGGGGGAGATGGTTGGGGGGGGAGGAGATGGTGGGGAGGAGGGTGAAGGAGATGGTGGTGGGGGGAGTGTGTTTCCTCTTCACACCCGCGCCTCACCATGCCCCCCCCCAGCTCACCACCCCGACCCCCCTCACGCCCCCCCCCCCCCCCCCACCTTGCTCCCGCGGTGCGAGCGGTTCCCACGGCGTCCCTGCTTGCTCTGGCTGAACGACTCGAGGCGCTTGAGCATCGTGCGCTTGAAGATCTCCTTCTGCTGCTGCTCCTGCACGCTGCTGGTGCCGGCCGCCTGCCGGCTGTACAGGGACTGCACCTGCACGGGGGGGGCGGGGGGGGGGGGTGAGCGCACCTGTGGGGTCACTCAAAGTTGCCGCGCAGTACGCGGCGAGTGAGGAGTGTGGCGAGCGTGGTGTACGTGTCTGTGTGTCTACGTGTCTGTGTGTCTGTGTGTACGTGTGTACGTGTCTGTGTCTGTGTGGCTGCGTGGTGTACGTGTCTGTGTGTCTGTGTGTCTGTGTCTGCGTGTCTGTGTGTCTGCGTGGTGTACGTGTCTGCGTGGTGTAGGTGTCTGCGTGGTGTACGTGTCTGTGTGTCTGCGTGTCTGTGTGTCTGCGTGGCGTGCGTGTCTGCGTGGTGTACGTGTCTGTGTGTCTGCGTGGTGTAGGTGTCTGCGTGGTGTACGTGTCTGCGTGGTGTAGGTGTCTGCGTGGTGTACGTGTCTGCGTGGTGTAGGTGTCTGCGTGGTGTAGGTGTCTGCGTGGTGTACGTGTCTGCGTGGCGAGTAGAGGTTGTTGCGCAGCATGCGGTGAGTGACGACGTCCTCGCGGTGCCGGCCGCTCTTGGCCCCGCCGCGCTCCATGGCGTGCAGGTCGAGCTGCGTCACCGCCAGAGACCCGGCCGCACTTTCCCTGCGGCTGGGTCACACACGGGGGTGGGGGGACACCGTGGTGGTGGTGGTGGTGGTGTGACCGTCCACGTGGTGGTGGTGGTGGTGGTGTGACCGTCCACGTGGTGGTGGTGGTGGTGGTGTGACCGTCCACGTGGTGGTGGTGGTGGTGTGACCGTCCACGTGGTGGTGGTGGTGGTGGTGTCACCGTCCACGTGGTGGTGGTGGTGGTGGTGTGACCGTCCACGTGGTGGTGGTGGTGGTGGTGGTGTGACCGTCCACGTGGTGGTGGTGGTGGTGGTGGTGTGACCGTCCACGTGGTGGTGGTGGTGGTGGTGTGACCGTCCACGTGGTGGTGGTGGTGGTGGTGTGAACGTCCACGTGGTGGTGGTGGTGGTGTGACCGTCCACGTGGTGGTGGTGGTGGTGGTGTGACCGTCCACGTGGTGGTGGTGGTGTGACCGTCCACGTGGTGGTGGTGGTGGTGTGACCGTCCACGTGGTGGTGGTGGTGGTGTGACCGTCCACGTGGTGGTGGTGGTGGTGGTGTCACCGTCCACGTGGTGGTGGTGTGACCGTCCACGTGGTGGTGGTGGTGGTGGTGGTGTCACACCGTCCACGTGGTGGTGGTGGTGTGACCGTCCACATAGTGGTGGTGGTGGTGGTGTGACCGTCCACGTAGTGGTGGTGGTGGTGGTGTGACCGTCCACGTGGTGGTGGTAGTGTGACCGTCCACGTGGTGGTGGTGGTGTGACCGTCCACGTGGTGGTGGTGGTGGTGGTGGTGTGACCGTCCACGTGGTGGTGGTGGTGGTGTGACCGTCCACGTGGTGGTGGTGGTGGTGGTGGTGTCACCGTCCACGTGGTGGTGGTGGTGGTGGTGTGACCGTACACGTGGTGGTGGTGGTGGTGGTGGTGGTGTCACACCGTCCACGTGGTGGTGGTGGTGGTGGTGGTGGTGTGACCGTCCACGTGGTGGTGGTGGTGGTGGTGGTGGTGTCACACCGTCCACGTGGTGGTGGTGTGACCATCCACGTGGTGGTGGTGGTGGTGGTGTCACCGTCCACGTGGTGGTGTGGCTGTTCCATGGTGGTTGTAGTGGTGGTGGTAATGGAGTGGCTGAGCCGTGGTGGTGGTGGTGGTGATGGTGTGGCTGACCATGGTGGTGGTGGTGGTGATGGTGTGGTGTGGTGGTGGTGTGGCTGAACCATGGTGGAGATGGGTAGGTGGTGTGGCTGAACCATGGTGGAGGTGGTAGGTGGTGTGGCTGGCCATGGTGGAGGCGGTGCTGGTGGTCTACTCACTACATGTTGGCGATGGACACCTCGGAGGCGCGCCGCAGGCCCACGAAGTCGATGCTGGAGGTGACGTGCTCGGGGCTGGCCGAGTGGATGAACGCCAGCGAGCCGCTGCGCTCCCCCTGGCGGGGAGGGGGGGGAGTGATGTCAGCGAGCAACAGCGGCACCTCTGAAGGTCGGCACTGTGGCACACGAGGGGGAGGGTGGCCAGCGACCACGCCCGGCCGCCTTTGTCTCCCCAGTGGCGATGTTCACACACCGCACCAGGTACTCGTTTGAGGCCGAGTCGACCTAGGGGAGCCCCCAGGACCGATTCAGATAATCGTCACTGGGTGTTGGCCGTGAGCGGGAATCGAACCCGGGGGTCGCTGGGTCTGTGGCACTGTGCTCCAACCACTGCACTGCCGCTCACCACAAACCTAATACACACACTCGTACGTACGCACACACACACACACCGCTCGTACGTACGCACACGTACTACGCTCGTACGTACGCACACACACACTCGTAGGCACGCACACACACACTCGTAGGCACGCACACACACACTCGTAGGCACGCACACACGTACACACACACTCGTACGCACACGCACGCACACGCTCGTACGCACGCACACACACACACACACACACGCTCGCACGCACACACACACACACACTCGTACGTACGCACACACTCGTACGTACGCACACACACACACACTCGTACGTACGCACACACACACACTCGTACGTACACACACACACACTCGTACGTACGCACACACACACACCGCTCGTACGTACGCACACCTACTACGCTCGTACGTATGCACACACACACGTATGCACACACACACGTACACACACACACGTACTACGTACACACACACACGTACACACACACGTACACACACACACGTACACACACGTACACACACACACGTACACACACACACACGTACACACACACACACGTACACACACACACACGTACACACACACACACGTACACACACACACACGTACTACGTACACACACACGTACACACACACGTACACACGTACACACGTACTACGTACACACACACACGTACACACACACACGTACACACGTACTACGTACACACACACACGTACACACACACGTACACACGTACTACGTACACACACACACACGTACACACACTCACAGTCCATGGATTCGTGCGCCCTCGGGCCTGTGGGCCAAGTGGCCGCTGGGGCCTGGCGGGGGCGAGGGGGGGCGAGAGGGGGCCTGGCGGGGGCGAGGGGGGGGCTAGGGGGAGCTAGGGGGGGCGAGGGGGGGCTAGGAGGGGCGAGGGGGGCTAGGGGGGGCTAGGGGGGGCGAGGGGGGCTACGGGGGGCGAGGGGGGGCTAGGGGGAGCTAGGGGGGGCTAGGGGGGGCTAGGGGGGGCTAGGGGGAGCTAGGGGGGCTAGGGGGGGCGAGGGGGGCGAGGGGGGGCTGGGGTGGGCGAGGGAGGCACCTGGCTCACGAAGTTGATGGCGTCCTGCACGTTGAGGCTGTGGTAGACGTCCCACAGCAGGCAGCGGTTGCGCCGTGCCGACTTGCGCATCAGGATGGGGTTCAGGTACTTGAAGTCAAAGTACTCCCATCTGGGGGGCGGGGGGCGGGGAGAGACGAGAGGTAAGTGGAGCGTTGAGGATGTAGATAAGGGAGAGTTGAGAGCTTAGAGAGGCGAGGGAGAGAGATCATGGAGACGAGAGATTGAGACAGAATCGAGAGGGAGAGGGGTGAGGGAGAGGGGTGAGGGTGAGGGGTGAGGGAGAGGGGTGAGGGGTGAGGGAGAGGGGTGGGGGTGAGGGGTGAGGCGTGGGGGTGAGGGAGAGGGGTGAGGGAGAGGGGTGAGGGGGAGGGGTGGGGGGGTTTCCGTACTTGTGTCTGACGTAGTGGTGGCCGTACTCGCCAGAGATGTCCTCTACGGCAGAGAGGATGTGGTCGAACGCCTGGGGGCGAGGGGGCGAGGGGGCGACCACACCACAAGGTCAGCCACAACACAAGGGGACACCGGGTCACCCTCACAATACGCAGAGACACCACGGGTCAGACCACACCACAGGGGTGAACATCAACGTGCGGGCCACACCACGGGACACCACTCAGCTCTTTGTGGCCACACCACACGGGGACATCGCGGGAGCCGCCACACCACGACACATAACACACACAACACACACACCACCACGACGACACAACACACACACCACGACACACACCACGACACACACACACGCACACACCACTACACACACCACTACACATAACACATACAACACACACACCACCACGACGACACAACACACACGCCACTACACACACACCACCACGACGACACAACACACACGCCACTAAACACACACCACGACACACACACACCACTACACACGACACACACACACCACTACACACGACACACACACACCACTACACACGACACACACACACCACTACACACGACACCACTACACAACATACACACCACTACACAACATACACACCACTACACAACATACACACCACTACACAACATACACACCACTACACAACACGCACACCACTACACAACACACACACACCACGACACACAACACACACACCACGACACACACACCACGACACAACACACACACCACGACACACAACACACACACCACGACACACAACACACACACCACGACACACACACCACGACACAACACACACACCACGACACAACACACAACACAACACACAACACACACACCACGACACAACACACAACACTACACACAACACACACCACTACACAATACACCCCACGACACACACACACACACCACGATACAACACACACACCACGACACAACACACACACCACGACACACACACAACACCACGACACACACACAACACCACGACACACACACAACACCACGACACAACACACACACACACCACGACAATACACACACACACCACGGGGCGGCCACAACAGGGGGGGGAGGAGGAGGGTGCAAGGAGGAGGAGGAGGAGGGTGTCCCTCTCCCTCACCCGGTCGAGCATCTCCTCGCTGAGTTTGGGCTCCCGGTGCTCGCTGCGTTTCACGCGGAGCCAATTCACTAGCGGCTTGATGGTGAGACCCTGCACCACCACACACCATCACCATACACCATCACCACCATCACCACCACCTTCACCACCATCACACACCATCACCACCACCATCACCACCATCACACACCATCACACACCATCACACACCATCACCACCATCACACACCATCACCACCACACACCATCACCACCATCACCACCACCTTCACCACCATCACACACCATCACACACCATCACCACCATCACCACCACCACACACCATCATCACCACCACAACCAGTCAACATCATCGACATCAAAACCACAATCACCATAATCACCATCACACACCATCATCATTAACATCATCACCACCACATTCACTAAAAACATCATCATCATTATCACCGTTCACCCTCACCACCATTTCCATCGATCTCAACATAACATCAACCAACACAATTATCCACAATCACCGTCACCGTCACCACCACCACCACCACCGCGCACCTGGAAGATGACGGTGAAGAAGACGACGATGATGGTGGTGCTCACAAAGAGGCGCTTCTCGGGCACCAGCTCCTCGTCGAGCAGTGCGACGAGCGCGAAGGCGACGGCGCCGCGCAGGCCTCCGTAGGACATCACGGCCTGGTCGATGGGGCTCAGCGGCACCACGCGGAACCAGTTGAGGATCCACGTCTGGATGACCACGCCTGGGGCACCGCCCGCCGGGACGGGGGCACGGGAGGGGAGGGAGGAGACAAGGAGGGGCAGAGCAGGAGAGAAGAGAGAGGAGAGAAGAGAGAGGAGGGGAGAGGGCAGGAGAGAGAGAGAGAGAGATGGAGGACAAGAGAGAGACTTTTGACTTTTAAACAACCTTGATTACCTCGGCCGCAAAAATGTGCCGGGGCGATTTGAGTGCTGGGTCGTGCGTGAAACACCAAAGACAAAATCAGGGCTAGCGCGTCATCGTGCGCGCAGTCAAATGACACAACTGATCACCATCCCTACAGGTAAGCATACAAAACCCGCTTCACAACGAAACAAGTGGAAAAAACCCAGATCTAGGACGCGACAGGTGCGCTGCGCCAGGGGGTGGGGGGGGGGGTGGCGAGTCCCCTGCCAGCACAGGTAAGTACACACGTGCGAAAAAAACGCTTCGAGGTCTGCGCGCGTCATCGCGCGCACAGCCAACCGACACAGCTGATCGCCACCAATGCAGGTAAGTACAAAACCGCTTCACGACAAAAGAAGTGGGGAAAAAACCCCGGGTCCAGAACGCGACACACGCGCTGCACAGGGGGGGGGGGGGCGAGTCCCCTGCCAGCACAGGTGAGTGCACACGTGCGAGATAAAGAACCGCTTCGGGGTCCGCGCTCAACAGCGCTCGCGTGAACCCCGGTCCACGCGCGTCTCCGCGCGCGCAGTCAGCGTCACCGCTGTACCTACACGCGTGTAGGTACAGCGTCACCGCTGTACCTACATGCGTGTCGCATGCTGCAGAGTAAGGATCGCACAGCGCGCCTCTTGGCGCGGCCACCGCCAGCTCAGGTGGTCTCACGCTGAGCAGGCGACTCAAGATCTACCGCCAGCTCAGGTGGTCTCACGCTGCGCGGGCTGCTCAAGGTCTACCGCCAGCTCAGGTGGTCTCACGCTGAAGCAGGCGACTCAAGGTCTACCGTCAGCTCAGGTGGTCTCACGCTGAAGCAGGCGACTCAAGGTCTACCGTCAGCTCAGGTGATCTCACACTGAGCGGGCGACTCAAGGTCTACCGTCAGCTCAGGTGATCTCACGCTGCGCAGGCTGCTCAAGGTCTACTGCCAGCTCAGGTGGTCTCACGCTGAAGCAGGCGACTCAAGGTCTACCGCCAGCTCAGGTGGTCTCACGCTGCGCGAGCGACTCAAGGTCTACCGCCAGCTCAGTTGACTCAAGGTCTACCGCCAGCTCAGGTGACAAGGTCTACTGCCAGCTCAGGTGACTCAAGGTCTACCGCCAGCACAGGTGATCTCACGCTGAGCGGGTGACTCAAGATCTACCGCCAGCTCAGGTGATCGCCTGTGCAAAGGAACCCGTTTCGAGTCCGCGCGCGTCATCGCGCACCTTGCCATTTTTAATGCCCGAAGCCATGACGCTAGGTGGTGATGTTGGCGGTGGCCCCCGGGGGGCCCTTTGGCTGGGAGAAGTGCTTCTTCTTTACCTTGCGTGCTAGAGCCTCCAGCCTGCCGGCCTCCTGCCGGCTGAAGGCGTACCTGTGCGGCTCTTTACAAATCCGTTGCGTGGTCTGCACGAAGCCTAGCGCGTCGGGGAATGTCTCTCCGACGCTGACCCCACGCCACCTGAAGTTTTCTTTTATGTGGCCAAGGATGTCCCGCGGGTCGTACTCTTTCACCCCCCGGACTTGCGGGAGGCTCGTTTCGCTTGTGTTGTCAACAACGTCGGACTCTAACTGCCCGTCGTCGTTATCGTTGTTATTGTTGTTATAGTCGCCTTGCATGTTCTCGTGGGGCTTGGCGGCCACCTCTTCTATCGGGCCACCCCGAGCCGGGGTCTCCACAGGCTTGGGGTGGAATTCCTCCGCAGGTCCGGCAGCCATTGCCTCGCCAGATGAGGAGGCGGGCTGCTCGGCACTCGCGAGCCCCACGGCACCATCAGGCATCACGGCACCGTCAGGCGTCACGGCACTCGCGAGCCCCATGACACCGTCAGGCGTCACGGCGCCATTAGGCGCGGCGGCGTCGGTGAAGGTGGCGGTGGTGGTGGTCTGCGATTCTGGGGCGGCCAAGGCCGGGTCCGGCTCCGACGGTCGCTCTGCCACCGCGGCGTCGTCCGGCGGGTGGAGTTCGCCGTCGTCGCCCCTCCCGTCCCGCGGCTCGGGCTCGTCGTCGCTCCCCGTCGCCGCGGTCCTCCGGCTCGCTGTCGTCGCCGGCGACCGCCGTCCGCTTCGCGGGGGCCGCGACGCGTCCCGCTGCCGCCGGGTCGCTCCTGGCCCTCCCTTTCCTCGGCTGAACACGGATGAAACCGCCTTGCTCGTCCTCGAGCATCGGCGCTGCTGAGATGACGAAGCTCCTCTGCTGCTGCCGCTGCTGCTGCTGCTGCTGCTGCCGCTGCTGCCGTTGTTGTTGTTGTTGTTGCTGCGGCTGCTGTTTTTGCTGCTGCTCTGCCTGCACCGTTGCGGGCGGTGCGGCAGGCGCGGCAGACCCGCTCGCGCTGTTCGGGCAGTCTCTCCGGGCGTGGCCGTTACCTCCACACCCGTACCACCGCATCCCAGCTGTGGATGCATACACCGTATACACATGGCCCTCCAGCGTGTATTTAAAGGTAACGTCCAAGTCCGCGTCGCCGCTCTCCAGGACCATAAAGACATGTCGCCGGAACGACAGGACGTGCGCCAACCTGGGGTCCCTCGACCGCAGAGGCAGCGGCGCGATCCTCGACGCCGCCGTTCCAAACCGCCGGAGGTCCCGCAGGAGGTCGGCGTTTCTCAGAACAGGCGGCGCGCGCCCGAGAGCGCCACGCGGACGGCGGGCGCGGCGAGCGGGGCGCACCGCAGGTGGAGCCCGCCCACGGCGAGCCCCGTCTCCACCAGGCGCGCCGCCATCGCCTCCTCCGCCACGTGCACCGTGACGCCGCCGTTCTGCCGCCGGGCCGCGACGACGTTCCGGTGGCCGACGCTCGCGGCCACCGCGGCGGCGGCGACGGCCTCGGCGGCGGTCTCCTGCGGCGGGAAGACGGCGACGGCGTTCCTCCTCGTGAGGCTCTCCAGGCGGCTTTCCAGACGGGCGTGCTGCGCCAAGATGGCGGGCGGCGGCAGCACACCTGCGCCTGCTTCAGTCGTCGTCGCTGCTGCTGCTGTTGCTGCTGTCGTTGTTGTTGTCGTTGTTGTTGTTATTATTGTCGTTGTCGTTGCCATCGTCCGTGCAGCCCACGAGCCGATCGCGATGGATTATCTCGAAGGGTTCAGTGAGCAAAATAAAAGACCGAATTTCAGAATTTGAATGGGGAATGAATCCAACGAGGGAATTCACGATGTTTAACTTTCTTTTTACCGTATCCTCTCTCGGGCTCGGCCTGGAAGGTGGAAAAACCAGGCCCCTATTGTTCCAGGTGAGAGCTCGGGAGCTTCACCCGTACACAGCCTCCTCCGAGCGCGCTCAGAGAGAGAGGAGGAAGAGAGAAAGAGAGAGGAGAGAGAGTAGGAAAGAGAGAGGGGGAGACGATACCACATTTCTGGGAGGCTCAACTGGCACAAGTGGCGAGCCGCTAGCTTCTCCCTCTCTCCATCAGCACGGCCGATCCCTCGCGCACGCACAGAGACGAGTGGGAGCTGGTGTCAGTGAGCGAGCGACAGGGTGAGCGAGTGAGGAAATGAACGATTGAGTGAATGCACGAGAGAGTTACCGAGAGGGTGGATTTAATGAGCGAGCGAGAGTTTGAGCGACTTGGTGACATCTGTGAGTTAAAGAGCTTCATAGCTCATCGGATTCCTCCTGCAGTATGACATAAGGATTCTGATTCAGATTCTGAATTAGCGAGAGACTGAGTGAGCGAGCAAGCGAGAGATTGAGTGGGTGAGCGTGCGAGCAAGCGAGAGAGTGAGTGAGTGAGCAAGAGAGTGAGTGAGTGAAGGAGTGAGTGAGCATGTGAGTGAGTGAGCATGCGAGAGAGTGAGTGAGTGAAGGAGAGAGTGAGTGAGCATGTGAGCAAGCGAGAGATTGAGTGAATGAAGGAGCGAGAGAGTGAGTGAGTGAAGGAGAGAGTGAGTGAGTGAAGGAGAGAGTGAGTGAGTGAAGGAGAGAGTGAGTGAGTGAAGGAGCGAGAGAGAGAGTGAGTAAAGGAACGAGTGAGTGAAGGAGCGAGAGAGTGAGTGAGTGAAGGAGCGAGAGAGTGAGTGAAGGAGAGAGTGAGTGAAGGAGCGAGAGAGTGAGTGAATGAGTGAAGGAGCGAGAGAGTGAGTGAGTGAAGGAGCGAGAGAGTGAGTGAATGAGTGAAGGAGCGAGAGAGTTAGTGAATGAGTGAAGGAGCGAGAGAGTGAGTGAATGAGTGAGGGAGCGAGAGAGTGAGTGAATGAGTGAAGGAGCGAGAGAGTGAGTGAATGAGTGAAGGAGCGAGAGAGTGAGTGAGTGAAGAAGCGAGAGAGTGAAGGAGCGAGATAGTGAATGAGTGAAGGAGCGAGAGAGTGAGTGAGTGAAGGAGCGAGAGAGTGAAGGAGCGAGAGAGTGAGTGAAGGAGCGAGAGAATGAATGAAGGAGCGAGAGAGTGAGTGAATGAGTGAAGGAGCGAGAGAGTGAGTGAATGAGTGAAGGAGCGAGAGAGTGAGTCACAGCACGAGACATCTCACTGCGAGGTTATCTCTCTGGCGAGTCGTTATCTCCCTGCCCGAAGCGTCGGGTGACTTCGAGTGACTTTGACCCCTGAGGTGGGAGGGAGGGGAGAATCTCACCCCCGTCCTCACCTCTCACCCACTCAGCCCACTCAACCCATCACGGAGTTTCCCGGTTCGTGATAAGAGGCCCCATCACCATCATCATCAGAGCAGCAGGGAACTCCTCGTCAGCTGATAAGGGCGAGTGGGGGGCGAGTGAAGGTCGGCACGCTACACGAGGGGTTGGGTGGCCAGCACCACACCCGACACCCAGAGCGGGAAACACCACGGCCCGGAGAGCGGCGCACGTGGGGCACGCCGCACTGCCTGCAGCCACGAATGGAGAGCCGCGAAACGAGGACCTCGCAAGCGACCCGCCACCCCGCCATCCCGCCATGCCACCACCCCGCCCGCCTGGCTTCGACCTCCCAAAAAGGCGCCAATGGGTGCGGTTGAACCAATTCCGGTGTGACCACGGGGAGCGTGCCACCACTTCCGGTGTGACCACGGGAAGTGTGACCACGGGGAGCGTGCCACCACTTCCGGTGTGACCAGACGGAGCGTGCCACCACTTCCGGTGTGACCACGGGGAGTGTGACCACGGGGAGCGTGCCACCACTTCCGGTGTGACCAGACAGAGCGTGCCACCACTTCCGGTGTGACCAGACGGAGCGTGCCACCACTTCCGGTGTGACCAGACGGAGCGTGCCACCACTTCCGGTGTGACCAGGGGGAGCGTGCCACCACTTCCGGTGTGACCAGGGGGGAGCGTGCCACCACTTCCGGTGTGACCAGACAGAGCGTGCCACCACTTCCGGTGTGACCAGGCGGAGCGTGCCACCACTTCCGGTGTGACCAGACAGAGCGTGCCACCACTTCCGGTGTGACCAGGGGGAGCGTGCCACCACTTCCGGTGTGACCAGGGGGAGCGTGCCACCACTTCCGGTGTGACCAGGAGGAGCGTGCCACCACTTCCGGTGTGACCAGGGGGGAGCGTGTCACCGCTTCCGAACGAGGGTGTGGAGTCGTGCTACTGCGCGACAGCCCGGCCACCAGCGTGTGAATGTGGTGAGAGCCAGGAGAGGCCGTGGTGGCACACCATCGTGTCCGGCTGCGGGGTCCATCGGGGCGTGCCGGGCGGACTGTGTTGTGGTTGTTGTGGTTGTTGTTGCTCTGCATGTGCTGGAAGAGGAGGAGGAGGCTGGAAAAGTGGCTCTGTGACTACGTCAGGGGGGCTGACGTCCTCTCAAAAGAACATTTATCTCTCTCTGCATGTATTTTTTTGTAAATGTATCTGGTGGTGATTTGGCCGTGGGGGAGTCGCGTGAAACAGCATTCGCTAAAAAAAACACACCGCGCCAGGTACTCATTTTGACGCCGAGTCGACCTAGGGGAGGCCCAGGACCGGTTCAGATAATCATCACTGGTGGTTGGCCGTGAGCGGGAACCGAACTTGGGTGGCCGGGTTTGTAGCGCAGTGTGCTAACCACTGCACCACCGCTCCCTACCAGACACACACACACACACACCTATGACCCCTGTAGATGGACACGAACACAAGACACACGCACACACAGACAGACAGACAAACAGACGCACCGATTATCCTGTAGACGGACACGAAGATGAGCGTGGGCAGGATGAAGGCGGTGTTCCAGGTCCACTTCTCGGTGTCCACGGCCGAGATGCCGAGGAAGATGAAGATGATGGTCTCGGCGGCGCTCGCCAACATCTTCATGGTGTACTTGATCACCGTCTGGGACTTGCTGCTGATGTTCGCGTCCACGTAGGTGCGGCAGCAGATGCCGCAGAACGTGATCCTGAGACGCACGCAGATGTAGTGAGAGACACACAGAGGACACACGGAGACGCACACATACACACACGGAGACAGAGAGACACACGGACGCATAGATACAGTGAGAGATAGACACGGCGAGAGACACAGATACCAAGACAAAGGCAGATAGGCACACACAGACGGAGAGACACACAGGACCCCCCCACACACACACACAAGGGGGAGCGCGAGGGAGTGGGGGGGAAGAGCCTCACGCGAGGATGGCGGAGAGGGTGAACATCTCAGCGGTGAGGTAGGCGAGGTAGGAGAGAAGGAAGACGAAGCCCGGCTCGATCATCTTCACGTGCTTGGTGAACCTCGTGACGAAGGCGATGATGAAGGCGAAGATCACCCCGACTGCCGTGCCGCCCAGACTCACCACGAAGAACGACGCTGCCGGGACACGACCACAAAATCGGCAACATCGTGGTCAGCAACATCAGCAGCAACGTCATCATCATCATCAGCGTCATCATTAATAGATCAGCAACAGCATCATCATCATCAGCAGCGTTGTCGTTATCCTCGCCGGCTCGTCTAGGCGGTAGAGACGCAGCCTCAACTGGGGGCCACCCTCGTTCAGTTTGTTTCGGAGTACCCTGTGAGCCAAGAAGCTCCTAAAATGGTGTTTCATTAACCCTGCAGAGGGCACAGTACTTTGGTCTACTCTTCCGCTGGGGCAGCTGCCTTCCTTTCTCAGCCACGGCACGGGTTAGACTTGCCGAGTTTAATGCTCCACACATTTTGGTGTTTGAATCTGTGAACCGGTAAACGTTTCACCCCCCCCCACTCCCATTTGGTTACCGATTATGTATTATATTTTAATAGCATTATAGGTCGGTCCACAGGAGCCTGGGTCAGGGATCGAACCCGGAGTGGGCGAGGAGCGAGGCTGCGTCTCACCGATGCCCTTGATGTAGTCGACTCCTTCAATGTTCTCCCCTCCCAGGGCCACGAACGAGTCGAAGACTTTGTACAGCACCTGGGGGGGGGCACGGGGGGGGGCACAGGGGGGGGGCACGGGGGATGACTCGGGACACGTGGAGCGCCCGCGGCAATGAAACGGTGACAAGTGGAGAACGGGTAATGAGGAAATTATGGTGGTGGTGGTGGTGATGGTGGTGGTGATGGTGGTGGTGATGGTGATGATGATGATGATGGTGGTGGTGATGTGATGGTGGTGGTGATGTGATGGTGGTGGTGGTGATGGTGATAATGATGGTGGTGGTGATGTGATGGTGGTGGTGGTGATGGTGATGATGATGGTGGTGGTGATGTGATGGTGGTGGTGGTGGTGATGGTGGTGGTGATGATGTGATGGTGATGATGGTGATGATGATGGTGGTGGTGATGTGATGGTGGTGATGGTGATGTGATGGTGGTGATGATGGTGATGATGATGTGATGATGATGCTGCTGCTGTACTGCGGCTGCTGGCACCCACCACGGTGACGGCGTCGTTGAGGAGCGACTCTCCGAACACGATGATGAAGAGCACCTCGTTGACGTGCACCTCCTCGAACACGGCGATCACCGCCACGGGGTCCACAGCGGCGATCAGACTCCCGAAGAGGAGGAAGTCGAGCAGGCCGGCTTGCAGGTCGCCTGACAAACACATAGATCCCCCCCACCCATGTAGCCCTAACGGACTGTTGGGGTAAGCGCTGCTCGCGAGGGGCACCTATGAAGGCCGGAACAGCACACGAGATGGGGTGGGTGGCCAGCACCACGCCCGGCCACCTTTGTCTCCCCAGTAGCGATGTTTAATACACGCCACACACAGGTACTCATTTGAGGCTCAGTCTACCTAGGGGAGGGCCCATCACCGGTTCAAATAATTGTCACTGGTGTTGGTGGCCGTGAACGGGAATCTAACTTGGGTGGCCGGATTCCTAACGGAGCAGCACGATCAGCATCAGCAGCATCATCAGCATCATCAGCAGCATCATCAGCAGCATCATCAGCATCATCAGCAGCATGTGGCTACTCTCAGTTCCTCAGAGGTCTGGTCGGGATGCAAGAGTAGGCCAACTACAACGCTACAGGGACTCTGTATAGCGGCCTCTAGTGGAGGTCTTTCCGCCAGCAGTGGCATGTGATTGGCTCACTGGAGTCCCTATTCCGACTACGAATAGCCAATCACACGCTACCTCGAGCGTGACCTCGACCACGACCTTGACCCTGACTTCAAGCTCGACCTCCACCTCGACCCCGACCAAGACATCGACCCACGACCCCCAAACACAACCTCGTCCCACAACCACGACCACGACCCCCAACCAGAACCACGACCCCCAACCAGAACCACGACCCCCAACCAGAACCACGACCCCCAACCACGACCACGACCCCCAACCACAACCAGAACCACGACCCCCAACCAGAACCACGACCCCCAACCACAACCAAAACCACGACCCCCAACCACAACCCCCAACCACAACCCCCAACCACAACCACAACCCCCAACCACGACCACAACCTCGACCCCCAACCACAACCCCCAACCACAACCCCCAACCACAACCCCCAACCACTACCACAACCCCCAACCACAACCCCCAACCACTACCACAACCCCCAACCACAACCCCCAACCACAACCCCCAACCACAACCCCCAACCACAACCCCCAACCACAACCCCCAACCACAACCACGACCCCCAACCACAACCCCCAACCACAACCACAACCACAACCCCCAACCACAACCCCCAACCACAACCACAACCCCCAACCACAACCACGACCTTCAACTACAACCACGACCTTCAACTACAACCACAACCTCGCCGCCACTCGCCCCTCACCCATGGCGCCGGTGAGGAAGATGCCGTAGAGCGAGAGCCCCGTGGTGGCGGCGTTCCACACGGTGCCCAGCACGGCGTACATGAGGATGGCGCCGATGTTGTCGAAGAAGAGGCGCGCCGGCATGAAGTAGCCGGCGTCCAGCACGATGGGAGGCAGCAGGTAGAAGAAGAAGACGGTGGGCGTGAGCGTGAACTCGGCGTGCTGGCTGGCGCCCCACACGACGCCCCCCAGGGCGAGGCCCAGCACGATGAGGAGGGCGCTCTCGGGGATCAAGGTGGACAGCTTGTGGTTCAGGTGGAACACTGCGTGGGAGGGGGGGGATGAGAGGGGGGGAGGGGGATGAGTTACCCGGGAGGTGGAGTCAGAATCTGGATTTGGACTGCAGGAGAAATCCGACGAGCTATGAAGCGCTTGTTCACGTCCGGCAGGGGCGAGTCAGAACGTTACAACAACAAGCAACACGGCAGGAGTGGAACGTATAGGAAAGGTAAAAACAGATCGCCGTAAAATAATAAACATAAAACTAAACTACTTGCACCTCGCCAGGCGAAGCCCAGCGAGGTGTAGACTGGACGGCTCGGGAAAGCGCAGCGTCTTATGCGGCGTGCTCGGAGCGTGAACGGAACGCGTGGGTAGGGGCACAGAGAGGGATCGACACAGATGTGTGGATGTAGAACTTCTTTCGCACCGTACGTAGCTAACCGTGCTCATCGGAGGTGCGGGGGAAAGAGAAACACCAACAACAAGCAGTTCTACAGCAATTAGTTTTTGTTATCTAGATTCTCGAGATAGAGAGAGAGAGATAATAGCAGGGAGGGATAAGGACGGAGAGAGATAGGAACAGATAGGGGGAGAGAGAGATATATATAGTAAGATAGATATGGACACAGAGATAGGGACAGAGATATAGACAGAGAGAGAGATAGAAACAGAGACGGATGGAAATGGAGAGACAGGCAGACAGAGAGGCCAGTGACATGGAGCAGTTGAGCGATGAAGGGATGGTGCTGGGTGAGTTGGTGGGCGGGAGAGTGGGTAAATGGGCGAGTTGGCGAGTGGGTGAGTGGGTGAGCAGGTAGATGGGCGAGTGGGCGAGTGGGTGAGTGGGTGAGTAGGTAGATGGGTGAGTGGGTGGGTGAGTAGGTAGATGGGCGAGTGGGTGAGTAGGTAGATGGGCGAGTGGGCAAGTGGGTGAATGGGTGAGTGGGTGAGCAGGCAGATGGGTGAGTGGGTGGGTGAGTGGGTGAGTAGGTAGATGGGTGAGTGGGTGAGTGGGTGAGTAGGTAGATGGGCGAGTGGGTGAGTGAGTGGGTGAGCAGGTAAATGGGCGAGTGAGTGGGTGAGCAGGTAAATGGGCGAGTTGGCGAGTGGGTGAGTGGGTGAGTGGGAGAGTGGGTGAGTAGGTAGATGGGTGAGTGGGTGGGTGAGTGGGTGAGTAGGTAGATGGGCGAGTGGGTGAGTGAGTGGGTGAGCAGGTAAATGGGCGAGTGAGTGGGTGAGCAGGTAAATGGGCGAGTGAGTGAGCAGGTAAATGGGCGAGTTGGCGAGTTGGCGAGTGGGTGAGTGGGTGAGTGGGAGAGTGGGTGAGTAGGTAGATGGGCGAGTGGGCGAGTGAGTGGGTGAGCAGGTAAATGGGCGAGTTGGCGAGTGGGTAAGTGGGTGAGTGAATAGATGGGCGAGTGGGTGGGCAAGTGGGTGAGTGGGTGAGTAGGTAGATGGGCGAGTAGGTGAGTGGGCGAGTAGGTAGATGGGCGAGTAGGTAGATGGGCGAGTAGGTAGATGGGCGAGTAGGTAGATGGGCGAGTGGGTGGGTGAGTGGGTGGGCGAGTGCTCATTATTATTTGTAAATGGTATCCTCATCAGCAGTCGTCATCAAAACAGCGGCCATCATCAGCAACATCGTCACGATCAGACATCTTCATCGCTCGGTTCGTCGTCATCACCACCACCATTGCCTATATAGGACTCACCACTGTGATCTCTACATTGGGTCAAACTTAACATCTCTTAATGTTCGACGGCTTGTGCACCAGATTTTATTTATTCACGATGTACTTACAAAAAAATCCGCAGACTACTGGATCTCCTCTCTGCTGGATCTCCGCTCTGTTTCAAAGAACAAATTTGACCTCAGGTCTTCGCTCATTTACCAGCTTCACATTCCCTATTGCCATACAAAAACTGGAGGAAGGGCCTTTGCTATTGATGCCCCCAGGGTCTGGAATGCTATTGGCAATAAACTGCAACTTAAATCGCTACCAATGAGATCTTCTCTCAAAACTGCTCTAGAGGAGTTGTATACCCCTAGCTGCCACTGCTATTCATTGGCATAAAATAAAATAAAATGTTTCGCTCCGGATGACACTGCAAAGTATTATCTGTATTTTGATTTAGCGTGCCGATCTTAAAGGTGCATTGAAACCATTGATACTCCGACTGATGCTCCTGTTGTTGTAACTCGTGCAGCCAGCTATGGCTCTATAGAGCTCTATAGAGCCATAGCTGGCTGCATGAGTTACCCTATAGGGATTGGTGTTACATGTTATTTATGTAGTTTATTGTAAAAATTCGGTCACAGTCCCTGTGATCACTGCTACGTTGCAATTATGGCTTTATTTTTTGGTTATTTCGAAAAGTTTTTTGGTTTGGCCATGTTTGTTTTGTTGTAGCACGGAGTTAGACTGATGGCCATTATCTAAGTTTTTGTGGTTGTTGTTGTTGGACTTGCATCCCACTGGGATTTGTTGTACACAGCGTTGGTGTACGGTGCTTTTTTCAGGAATATTTTTGCCACCCGGCCCCCTCCCCTGACTAATCCGTGAACCCAAACACCCCCCCCCCCCCCCAGGTGGAGCGGGTGAACAAATATTTGAGTGAGAAGCGGCGGGGGGACAATGGCGGAGCCGTGGGTACCACCGCAGCGCACGTAGCCGGCATTGTGTGGGTGGGTGGGGGGTGGGGGGTGGGGGGTGGGTGGGTGGGTGAGTGGGTGGGTGGGTGGGGTGAGTGGGGTGAGTGAGTGGGGTGAGTGGGGTGAGTGGGTGGGTGACGGCGGGTGAGGTTGGGGGGTGAGTGGGTGGGTGAGTGGGTGGGTGACGGTGGGTGAGTGGGTGAGTGACGGTGGGTGAGTGGGGTGAGTGGGTGAGTGGGGTGAGTGGGTGGGTGAGTGAGTGGGCGAGTTTGTGGGTGGGTGGGGGCGGTGGTGCAGCGGTTAGCGCTACGCTGCGCTACGAACCCGACGACCCGAGTTCGATTCCCGCTGACGGTCACCAACACCGGAGACGATTATGTGAACCGGTCGTGGGCCTCCCCTAGGTGGTCTCAGCCTCAAAAGGAGTACCTCGTGTGGTGTGTAAACATCGCCACTGGGGAGACAAAGGCGGCCGGGCGGGGTGCTGGCCACCCACTCCTGCATGTGCTGCTACTCGCTTACAGCACTTGCCCCTACAGTCTGTAAAGGCTACACGGCGGATCTTTGTCTTTGGGCGAGTGAGTGGGCGAGCGGTGGTGCAGTGGTTAGCGCTACGCCGCGCTACGGACCCGGCAGCCCGAGTTCGATTCCCGCTCACGGCCAACATCGGTGACGAACCAGTTCTGGGCCTCCCCTAGGTCTACTCGGCCTCAAATGAGTACTGTAACTGGTGTGGTGTGTAAACATCCCCGCTGGGGAGACAAAGGCGTCCGGGCGTGGTGTTGCCCACATTGAGCCACTTGGTGTGCCGTGCCGACCTTCTGAGGCCTTTGCTAACATCACTTGCCCCAACAGTCGGTGCAGGCTATACGGGGGAACTTTATCTTTGTGTGCCTGTACGCGTGTGATAATGATGATGATGATGGATCTCGATGACGAGTATTAGAACGAGGATGTGTACGTGCTATGAAGGAGGCCCGCTGCCCGAAACGTCGCCGGTGTTCTTGGTCGCACGTGTCGAGTTTGCTTGACAACTGGGAGCACGGCGCCCATTGATTCGGGATGAGGGTCATGAAGGTGACGGCGGCGACGCTCACAACAACGAGCGGAGCACCGGGCGGCTAAAACGCAGCAAGTTGGCACAGTAAGGGGTACCGCTGGTGGTGCATCTCGCGGTCATCGCGGTCAGCCAACCCATGGCACCTGCTGGGTGTGTCCCGAGACCTCCTCCTGCCGGCAGCGAGCCTTCAACACTTCGCGTGGTAGCCTCAAAGTGCACCTAGCCTGGCACAGGCGCCGTGGTGACGTCACCGCCACCAGAGGCGATACGATGTGTACACAGCCGGAGAGGGCAGCTTCATCTCGACTCGACTGTAAACTATAAAAAAAAAACTCTCCTTCGCACGCACGTCTGCTGCCTGTTGCAGGGTCGGGCAAGGCGGTGGGTCGGGCCATGTTTATGCCGTCGTGGCCCTGCCATCCTTTACGGTTGTGTTGTGCCCCCTCGAACCTCGCCCGAGCCTTCGACTTGAGGCTGCTCGTCCTTGGGCACACCTCTGCCGGAGGGTCGAATCCCACCAAGCGGTTCTGCTCACGTGGAATCCGCACCTCCGATGAGCACGGTTGGCCACGTACGGCGCAAAGAGAGCGTCAACATTCATACATCTCTCTTACCAGCGACCTGGCCCATCACAAATGAGAGCCCCCAACGAAGTGTGGACGTTCACAGCAGCAACCAACTCACTCGAAACGCGTGGGTGCCCTCGATTCTCAATGCGGAGGGGGGAGGAAGGGGGGGTCGCGGGGGAGGGGGTCGCGGGGAGGGGGGGTTACGGGGAGGGGGGGGGTTACGGGGAGGGGGGGGGTCGCGGGGAGGGGGGTCGCGGGGAGGGGGGGCGAGCCGGACCTGGGCGGACTGGACTTTACTGCCCCACTTAGCGGCGAGGGAAGTGTGGGGCCCCAGGTGCCGCTAAACTGGGAACCGACCCGGGCCGGTCAGGCCCAGCGCCCTGTCCGGTTAACGAAGCTCGCAGCTCGTTAATTGGGGAACTCGCGCTGCCAACACGAGGCAAAGTGCCCCCACCACCATCCCCCCCCCCCATTCCCCGTGACCCCCACAGCCCCACCCCCTCGCAGCCTCCTAATCTGAGATCCGTGCCGAGTGTTAATCTGCGCTGGTTCTGAACCCCGCTCTGGCTCTGAACTTCTGGCAACGCCAGCGGAGTGTCGTTTCAATGACCCCCGACACTGCTGATGAGACCCCCCCCCCCCCGTCTAAACCCCCCCCCCGCCCCTCCCACAAATAAATGATGGGATTATCTGACGAAGGCCTTTCAAGTGGAATGTTTGCGCCCACGTGGAGAGATGAACCAAGCCTGGTAGGGAAAAAAA